TCCAGAAAAGGTCCCACGAATGCTCTAAGCATGTAACTCAGCAGCTTAGAATATTACTAATAATGCAGTAAACCGCCAAAGGCAGAGAGGGAATATGAGACACAATGAACTCTTCTGTTCACTGGCCCCTGAGCCCCAGATGTTAAATCTCATTCCATGTCGTCCCACAGAAGGTCACGGGAGGAAGAAAGGGCTCCATGGCTTAACAGGCACATGCAGTGTGCGAACCTGAAAGCCTGCACTGTGCTTCTGCGACGGGGACGGACTTTGACACAGTGTCGGGCTGCCCCCAATGCACCGATCACTCAGTACCCTCCAGGGAGTACAGCTCACTTTCAAACACGAGAAAACAATCCAAGCTATTCCTTCTGCATTACATTCAGGGTATTTTTTGTAAATGATGCATACTTCAGATTACATTTTATATAATAGGTCTATTGGTCGGTATTTTTGTGTATTTTATGTGTGACAGTAAAACAATAATTTCCTAATTCAGAGCTGAAATTGTACATGTACATGCTATAGTATATGTTTTGAAATTTGGACAATTATATTTATTTCAGAAGAATAATTAAGGTGATACTTTGAAGTTTTAAATTAAGTCTCTACAAGGAATTGTAGAGGGAAGTTTAATTTAAAATGGAAAGAACTGAAAGGAAAATGTTTCAACAGTGTGACGTGTGGAACTGTGAGCGTCCACAGGCTGCTGTCGCCTTTCTTATGTTGCTGTTTTGAATTTGAAGGATTAGGTATGTATGGGAATGTCAGTGCTACTGTCAGTACACAGGCACCAGTGCCACTATGTGTCTGGACAAAGAGAGAGAGCCAGTCAGGCACTAAAAAGTGGTGGCTAAAGGTCAGGAATGCTATGACAAAATGCTGAATGAAACAAATACTCTGAAGTCAGAGGGAAAAATTGCACTTGTGGGAGTTTTACTTACACAAAAATGTTCTGAGGGTGGAAAGAAGAATGGTTGGTTCAGAGAGATAGCCAATCAAATTGCAGAGGAGGTGGGTCCAAGACATCCGATTGGTTGGTCCTGCTTCCTCTAGTTGCTTGGACCCACCTCCTCAAAAATGTGATTGGTTAACTCTCTGAAGCAATCATTTTTCCTTCTGCCCTCAGAACGTTTTCGTATAAGTAAGATTTTCATGCGCAAAAATTGATTTAGTTTTATATAACACCATTGGTGGAATATTGATTGACATCTGATAACAGAGAATATATTATTTAATATTATAGTGCATATAATTTTATTTAACGGGATCTATTGATTTGAGTATATAGAATTGGTAGCACTTCTCTTGCCCAGATATGATTGGAGTTTTCCCCCTGAAATATTCAGATAATTATAAAAGAGCATAAATGAACAGGTTTAATTTACATTAGGTACTACAGGTGATATTTTTCTTACTGACCCTGTGCCCAAAATTTCAGCCCATCAGCTTGGAAGAAAGCGAGTCTTTTGTACTACATTGCCATCAAAGCTGATTCAAGATAACAGTAGATTCAGGAATCCAGAGAGGATATGGTCTTCTGTATCGTTAGCGTGTGATTAATCCTCATACTCTGCTGAAGATCTATAGCTGATGCCATCATACTGACTGAAAAGTGCCCCTGAATACATAGACGATAGATGCGGAGATAGGACTTAATGAGCAAACCACTGACTCATTACAGATATATGTTGCTATATAAAAACCAGAAAACAGATTTATACCACAAAGAGATAAAATACATTATATCTGTGACATTTCAATTGAGTCATATTGACTCTTATGAAAGACTCATTAAGTTAAATTGACTCTATCGCCCCATAAAAATTGACATATTATCCTCTGATAGATGGGCAACAGGTAGCATTGTGATTAGGGGGGGGTGTCTTTTTGTGAATGAGGTAGTATCTGAATGAAGTCATTAAAATGGCACATATTTTAATGGTTTTAAAGTTAAAACTTATAAACCAGGTAAAACCTAAATCTGTTTCGATAAAATAATATCTTCAGGGTGTGAAGAAGGTTAATTGTTTGTCAGTATTACCCATAACATTAACTGATGTTTAACAACCTAAACTACTTAAACAGTCTTTATTCAACATGCTTAATCCATGCAGTATTTGATTACAGTGTGCAGAGGCACAAACATCTGAAAGGAAGCATTTAGTGTCCTAGGGTTGTGATGATTCCTTTAAAACCGATTAAAACAGTTTCCCATTACTAGGCCATTAAATTGCCAAAGGAAGTAAGACAGACTGCGAATCCAGTCCTGCTCCAGACACTATTTATTCGTCAAAGGTTATTTTTAATCTTCAAATCAATGAGCTCAAGCAATATTGGGGTCTAGCACCAACCCGGGGCACTTCTAGATGAATCTCTTCTCCGGGGAGATCCTGCCCAGCTCCCATATGGCCGGCCACGTTCTGTGTGTCCCAGCATCTTTGCCAAACTTCATCAATAGGTCTGTGTTCCAATTTTAAGGATGAAAAAACAAGGGGACGGGGTGGATTTTAATGGGTCAAATGTAAAAGTGGATCAGCTGGAACTGGTTTATTGGCCATCAGTTCATGTGTGTGGCTAGAGCAGAAAGCAGTGAGCAGTATCCACTCCTACAGGGTGATAGTCATACTGTCAGGTGCCACCGGTCTACATCCGCCTGGATAAGCCTGCATTGACTCAAGGGGGGCACAGTCATTCCTGCGAGGTGGACAAGGCTTCTGGGGAATGCAGGGCTGCCAATTCTAACGCATCTGGCGTGACACACATGCTTATTGACTCTCATGCTCACACAAAAAATCATACAGCAAATCTATATTATTCCATTATAAACCTAAAATTAGCTACATCAAAAGTGTTGGGTAGTTTGCAAACCCTACAGACTATTTACAAGGTAATAAAACTGATACATACATGGTAATGTATGTGCATGTGTGTGCAGACTTATCTCGAATTGAAAACCTCATGCCAGCCAGCTGACCAAAGTTGGCAACACTGTGGGTGACCATAAAGCTCCTTCCAGCAAGAACATCCAGAAGGTCAGCAAACATTCTTTAACGCCCATTAAGTGAATAACAGAGAGAACATGGAATTCTCCCTTTCCACAAATGTAAAGAAACACTGATGAACTAATTAGACAAAAAAAACATTTCTTTAAGTGGGTCATCTCCGGTGAATGCTAAATGTCAGTGTGCTCAGTGGATTCACAAACAGGACCTTTCTGGCCATCACTGGCTCTGCTGAATCACATTTGTACATTTTGTTTTTATCTAGTTATGACATTTACACTAATGAGGTGCTGTTCCAATGAACCTTAGCAAATACCAGATGGGGAAATCAGCTAGTTACTTTCAAGCAGGTGTGGTTATTTTCAGATATGGTGTCTGAAAAGGCCAGAGTATTAAGCATGGCTCGGAACTGACAAAACATATGAATGACAGATTTAAGTAATAATGTCTGTAATTTAAGGACCAGCTACTTCCATGGAAATTTCAGTCCCAGCTATACACAGATGCAGAGGAAGGTGAAGTCTTGTGGGAAGTTGACCTGAAGTGGCAGCTTCTGCCTTGTCTGCAGGTGCTCACAATATCTCTTGATGTTTTTCTTTATCAGCAAGAGGTTTTTTTTCTATATGCAAGCCAGGCATGCTGATAAATCAGTCTGTACGCCACTTCCAACTTTTAACAGTTTTGTCATTACACAAAATGAGGGAAATTATAGATAATAAAACACAACAGGAGGCTGGGATAGTACAACCCCAGCGACGTCAATTTCCTATGAACTGTAAAGGTCTGATATACTGGGGATGGGTGGGTATTAATGTGGGGAGGGAGGGGGGTTGGTCATCCTGGGTTGTGTACCCCACAGCTGGAGCACATTGTTGTCAGAGCAAATATTAATTATTAAAGCGCAGATGAGTGTTTTTCTGCATGGTCTGAGAAAATGATGAAACCCAACCAAGCTATTAAACATGCTAATTTCAGCTGTATTCTGCATTTAAACAGAACAAAGGGTCAGTCCCTCAGCAGACAAGAGCGTCTGCACCTCCTTAATTATCTGCAGGCTTTCCTATTAAGTGTTGTGTGCTTGACAGCTGTCTGCTTGGACGGGCGAATGGATTCCTCGCTCGATGCGAACATCGATTTTCATGGAGAGGGGCCTAGATAATGAGTCTTTGAAAACAGACAGCAGGAGTGTCTCTGGAGCTGACATCAGAACTGACACCTTATCAGGCATGTCATATATTTTAAAAAAGGACCAAAAAGACATTGCTGTAGATAAAGGGCAGCAACCATGTCATCCAGGAGCGTCATTAGAGATTGATGAAGGAGGGCTAACCTTTTATTAGAAGGGTCTGAAAGAAATGACCATCATTATTAAACTATTTAGTGTATATTAATTAATATGGGCCTAATGATACCTCTGATGTCAACATGTGTGAAGCCATGTTTTATGCAAAGGAATGGGTCATGTGATCAGTCAGCTGATTTTATAACCTACGCTCCCCAAAACTATTGCATTGATTTCATACTTTTCACTTTAATGCTAACCTTATAGATATCACGTGTTCAACGGGCCTAAGTAAAATATTGACCACGATTAACAGTCGTCTCCCTACAACGCAGCATTACTAATTATATGTGATACTTTTGAAAGTTTCACTGAATTTTTAAGGAAAATTATATATTGACATCACTGACCAGAAAGATATACAGGTGAAAATATGTGTGCTGTGTTACATAACTGTGTAAGATTGTGTGAGATTTACTATCATTCTTTTTGACGATGTTGTTTTCATCACCATACTCTATTTAACCTACTCGGAGTAGTTAATGGGCAGATACTTCTTTAAATACCCGCAAACTGGATAGCATACTGGGACTTGTAGTAAATCGCGGTTATATATAGTGCTGCCGTTTCGTCACTTTCCCCGCTAAACGGTTTAGCGCCGAAACAACATTTCCCATGCAGCCAAGCCGCTATAAATCCGGCCGAAAGCAGGCGGGTCCGCAGAGCTCATGTGGAGTTGGTCTATGGTGATTTGCCTGCTGTTCTCTGACCGGGGTTTGAATATGATGGGATTAAACGAGGGTAGCGCCGTGGACATTGCCTTGCACTGATCAGTCTTCAGCCGCGGTCCCTAAGAAAGGTAAAGCACCCGGACACTGGAAGATATCTCCAGCTATGTTACCGATGGACCGGTAGCTGTTACTTTGTATCAGATGGGGATGCGACTCCTTACGCGGATCGTCCGCTGAACCTGTTTATATAGCGCCTAAACGGGAGGCGCTCCACGTCTCATCCGCCGGCATGTCCATCAACTGGAGGGTCGCTGTCTTGTTTGGACAGTTGTTTATATGCTCAAAGGCATATCGCGATCGTAGTACGTCCTTCTCGGTTCTGATACCATAGTAAAACGGGTTTAAAAGAGAGCAGACTGCCTTGTTCATCTGCTACTAGGCGATCCGAACCATGTGCGGTCCTGAAATGGTCTGAAAGTTTGCTGTGGGCGCACAGGCTGTGCAAACTCCGGCTTTAACTCTGCTTTTCCTGCGGAGTTCAGCGTGATCATTCAGCCGGGGGTCGCCTGTACAATAAGTGCGCATCGGTGAGTCGCAGGATGTACCCGAGACCAGACGGACCCTCTTAAACATACATTCATAAATAACGCATGCTGTCAGTGCTGCGCCAGGAGGAGTTTAACGATTTACTTGCAACAAAACGTGGTGTCGGTGTTTGAGAGAAACTAGTCTTAACGGTGTTTGTACAAATTAAAACGTTGTCAGTCCTGGTCACGGAGTATTAACAATGTTTTTATAAATAAGCGCGTGATTATTGTTGTACAAGGAGGAGTATTAACAGTGTATTTACAAATTTGCGTGCTGTCAATATTAGACAAGGAGTCGTAGATATAGACCACACTTTATAATCATGTTCTGTTAGGCTGGAGGAACTCTTAACCTGCTTGTTAATACATGTATAGTTTACATTATTTTCCTTGAAGAGGTGATATTGTGGTTATATGGTAGGAGTACGGTATTTATAGAGTAAAGAATTTTAACATGTAACTGTTATTGCCTGGGTAATGAGTTAGTGGATGAGACCAGTGCAGATGCCATACTGGTAAGGCAGTTCTGGTCTAAGGACTTGGAGTGTCTGCTGAATACAGAATGAGTCCATTAATTAGCATAGATTAGTCTTCTTCAAAGCTGCTCTTTGTACAGGTGTGATATTCCTGTAAGTTTGGTCTGTATCATCGGCCTGAACCTTTTGCTGCACAGTGGCTCTGATGGTCAAGGTGTTTTGTAAACAGCGTTTGCTGGCTATGGTGGTGTCCACTGTGGCCAGTTCCTGAAGCCACACCTCCACCCTAGACTAGTCTCTGGTTCTACAGGGCTGAAGTCTCCACAGAGCACATGTAGATGCCGGAGTCTGGCGTGCTTTTGCAATGGCCTTAATTACTGTATGGCATTCTCTATGTGTAAATCCAAAGCTCTGAGTACTAAATGGTCGAGTGCTCTTGTAAATTGAATAAAAACAGTCTATGCTGTAGCCTGTTTACTGCCCCCATGGGAACAATGTATGGAGTTTATCTGCTGAGCTCCCTTGCTGGCTTACACTGAACACTAATCACCTTCTTCCCTCCTTTTGAAAAATGTCAGTCGGGCACAAAACCAGCACGTCCTGCCCTCGACGAGGTTTTTGGGCCATTTGTGTACTTCGCTAGATGGCCAGTGGTCCCTGTGAGGTTCTCTGACAGAGTGAGAGAGTGGCTCACATGCGTGCAGCTGAACATGCCGCGGGTCTTTGGATGCTCCACTTTCTGAACGACCAGGCCTTGTCTGATGTCTGTCACCATCACTCCTGGGTGGATTGACCAGAGAAGTGTTTGCTCTCCCCAACTTCACCGCTCCCTCCTCCTGACCTTTGGGCCATTGCCTTTGCTCAGTGCTGTAATTCAAACAGTAGTCATTAAAGGGATGCACCTTTTCTCAGTGATCGTGTCGTCATTTATAGCACCATGCTGTGAATGTCACGGTCGTTTATCTTGGCATATTAAGTTTGAATGAAATGCCTCCGTTATAAATGAAGTGGCCACATTGTTGGGTTTTTTTTTGTCATTTTTGATGTCACTCAAATGCTGTTTTCTCTTCCCGTTTCAGACACAGTCCAGGGTGCAAAAATGTCAGACAAGATGTCTAGTTTTTTGCATATTGGGGACATCTGTTCCCTCTATGCCGAAGGGTCAACCAATGGCTTCATCAGCACACTGGGGTAAGTGTGGCCCTTTCAGCCTCTCTCTGCATCATCATCTTCATTATTATTGTGTGACTTGGCTTCCAGGGAGTTGCACACCTGTAGTTGTGCACTCAACTTAATAGCTTGTTGACAATGGAAATCTTGGGTCCCTAAGCCCTTAGCTCTTTGTCTTCAAGGCTCCAAGGTTAAGCAGAACATTTGCCCTTTGCCCCCCCCCCCCCACACCTGTAGAGACACACACCCCATGTCATGCTGGATGCTGCCTCCCCTCTATGAGACCATAATAGCCTTTAGCATGGAGTACAGTAATTTTTCCAAGTCGCTCCTGCCTTTGCAAGTTTTAGATTCAGCTGCACTCTGCTTCATTCTCAGTCATTCTTCTGGTGTGAGTTTTGTTAGAATTTGTATTCATGTTTGTTCAGAGAATCCCTGGAATGGAGAAAAAAAAGAGAGCTGAATTAAAACTGACGTATCACCTCCGATCTTACCATGTACGTTCTTGTGTAAAATTGACAGAGGCATTTTGATGCACAGACATAGTCAGGCTGCTAATAAGGGACTTCAGCTAACCTTGTTTATTAACATTTTATATACCTCCCTACCCCAATGAACAGCGTTTCCTGTAGCCACCCCCCACCCCCGAACAGTTCAAATAGCCAAGGGGCCTTTGACCCTGTTAACATCACGTTAATGTGCCTTACAGAATTTTGAATACTGTAAGAAGCATTTGTGCCACTAACATACCATTTGCACTTTATTTTCAAGCATAATTTATGTTCATCAAGATCAGATGAATTGTATTCAGTTCTTCAGTTGAATGACTAACAGAACTGGCATATTGGGGACATCTGTTACCGATACCTCTACAGCTGCTTGCATTAAAGTTTTGCCAGAGTTCTTAAAGGTTTTAGCCTAAATATTAATGTATCCATTTGCATAGGGTTGCATAGGGTTGGTGACTTCAGTTTAATGTGATTTGAATGGATTGATTCAGTCAGCAGTGCAATCAAAGTTAATTATCTGGAACAAAAGCTTGAAACCACAGTGAGCTGATGAGTCCAGACCTGCAGAAGCCTTGCCATGGTCTTGCTATGCACTGGGAATGCTTCGTGATTTTCTGGTGTCATAACCCAGAATGCACCTGGAATGTAGTGATTTTTCCGGTTCTGTAACTAGTTGTTCTTGAAGGTTGTCTCCGCTGTGCTGTGCCTGTCATCCTTTGTTTTTTCATAATAAGGAACATCTTGGTCAATCGCCAGTTTTGTCTTGTTGCTGTGGTACAGTGTTTGTCTTCAGTGGGCTTGGAGTGGCAAGTAATTATACCATATGAGTTGTAAGAGTTGATAATATGGGAGGTTGAGAGTCAGAAAATATAAGAACAATGGAGGTGAAAAGGTAAGGGAAGGAGATTAAATATAGAGGAAGATAGAGGAGATGATAGAAAGCAGAGAAAATGAGAAGGAAAAGGTGAAAGATGAAATGAGTGGTGAAGGAGGACAGGAGGAAAGATGTGTGAGAGCAGGTGGCTGGTTAAGGAGGGAGGTAGGGAACAACCTCTTTCATCTCCACACTCACCGCCTGAAGCATGTAATGGTCATGCAAAGCCTGCTGGACTGACGGCATGAGCTAGGGCCAGTCTGAGTGCTGCTCGGCAGAACATGGTGTCCGTGCCGCTTGCCACGCTTCCTGTGTCACTCTGGCCCAGGCACGAGTTCCTGCTGAGTCATCTGGCCCACAAAGGTGGCCGTTTGCCCTACCAGGGGCAGAGGACTTCTGACTTGTCATTTTTCGCTTGTGGCGGCGGGGTGGGGTGGCGCTTTGAAATGTCACAGTTGTGGAGCGTGTCCATGCTGTCTCATCCTAGGGCTCAGATTCGTACTGTCGCCATGGTCCCCAAGATAGGGAGACACCCATGCATACACACACACACACACACACACACACACACACACACACACACACACGCGCACACACACACACACACACAAAACAGTAACACCCACGGCCATTCAGCGATGAGGAAGAGTCACAAATTCTGTTTATTTATTTATTTGTTTATTTATTTGTTTGTTTGTTTGTTTATGTTACCAAACGATGGTGTGAAGGTAGTTGGCAAAGTAGCCATGGGTCTCCTGAAGCTCAGCTACCCATTAACGTGGATCCATGAGATTTCCTGCATCTCGGCACCGTGTAAAATAAGGGTCATTCTCATGATGCTTTGTGCCAGTGGCTGGTTTGTTTAATATCTGACTGGTGGTGTGAGAATTGCCCTGGGGTAGTGCACGCCAACTCGCGGCCATGCGTTTTATCAATCAGTGGAAAATGATTATGAGGATGGTGGTAGAGTAACAAGGAGCAGACTCTGTAGCATGCTTCTGTGGCTTATAGCTGGCCACATTGTCTTTTTGTAATGTGGGGGCTTGAGGACAAAGCAGGATGCCCCTGAGGGGCTCAGGAATGCCCTTTATTTATCTATCCATCTATCAGGACACTACAGTAGGTTACATTGCCCTGCCTTCAGCTGTGACTGTCCTAGAGGCACATTGGATTTGCTTTTTCATGAGAGGCTTTTATCTAAGGCAATGTACAATTAAGAAGATGTGGTCAGCCAGGTCCCAGAGCTATGGGGTTGGGGTCTTGCTCAAGGGCCTCTGTGGTGACATTACTTTGCCGGGATTTGAACCTGCAGCCTTCTAAGTGCAGCCACAGCATCCTAACGCTCTGAGCCACATACCTGTCATGTGGTTTAGGAGAGTTCTCTGCCGTAGGAGTGCTGCATGCAGTATGATGTTAGTTTTTTTTATTGTCATATGAACTTTGCTTATTCTTTTTACTTCTGTTTTCCTCAATCCATTTATATAGCTGGAATTTTCAAATTTAGGCTAATTACATGATTTAATGCTACCCGCCTGTCCCTTCTGGGATAACATTACCATCCATTATTAGTAACTACTTATTCAATCGGGGTCATTGTGATCTGGAGCCAATCCCAAAGAACACAGAGCGGAGGGAGGGGGGGGTTCACTCTGTCCATAACTCAGTCACACATTCACCGCTCCCTACTTACCAGCCCCTATTTACCTGCATTATCTGGCTCGGGAGTAACTGTATGGGAAATGAGTATTCAGAGAGAAACTCCCACAACATCTGAGAGAGCTCCGCAAATCCAGCTGGACAGAGAACATGTAAGCATGGTGGGAGGGGCTGGGTCCAAATATGGGGAGAACATGTAAGCATGCTTGGAGGAGCTAGGTCCATATATGGGGAGAACATGTAAACATGGTGGGAGGGGCTGGGTCCAAATATGGGGAGAATAAAAAAATGGTGGGAGGGGCCAGGTCCAAATATGGGGAGAACATGTATGCATTGTGGTAGGGGCTGGGACCAAACACAGAGAGAGCATGTTATCAACCTGGATATGATGGTGGGGCCAGATCCATACAGCATTTATTATTGCAACTTATTTGTTCGTTTATTATATAATTTTCACTTTTCTGACCCTGGGATTTGAACTGGTGAACTTCTGGTTATAGGCACAGTGGTCTAACCTTCTGAGCCACACACTACCCCCCCTCCCATAGATGCTATGGGAAGGTTGGCACCTAGATGCGGGTCTTGGTGTATGCGGTTTCCTGGTGCTGCTGCAGTAGATGCTGTGTTCTCACACAAACAGAATTGTTTTGTTGCTTGCTTGTTGTTGTGTTTGCTAAGGAACAGACCAGTCAGATTATACAAAAGCACATCATTTGATATACTTAATGGAAAACATGTCATTAAGGACAAATTCCCAAACTATCAAAACATATTTCTGGGGGCAGAAATATGCCCCATTTACCTCAGCTGATTCTAAGAGGATCTGTAAATCTGGAGCTATTTGATTAAAGGGCTGGTTCTCGAGTGCTGGCTCGTCCGTGTGTTTAAGTGGACCATTTCATAACAGCTGTTCTCTTCCTGGACACTTGGGAGGCTGGCTGAATGCTATGTCTCAGATGAGATCCTCAGTGGCTCAGTTACACGCTGCCCAGGGACACGGGGAACATAATTTGGCTAAAGATGTACACTCTGCATCGACATTCTATTTTTAGAGACCATTTGGCCGAGGCAGCCTTACTGTAAACACAGAATATACGCACCTTAGTCACTTCATCATTGTGTTTAAGAACGGGACTTCCTACCAATCTCAGGTCATGACTCAAAAGAGGAAACTGCTGCTGCAGCCTTTGAAATAATTGAAGCTGACCTGCTATTGAGCAGGCACCCGGAATGGGCTTCGTCCGGAGTCCCACGTTTGGATCACAGGAGAAAAGCGTGTCGCTGCGGTTGCTGTGCAAGTTCAGGAGGTTGTGTCTTTTCCACACCCTGTGGTGAACTTGCTTTCTGTTTATTTTGTACAAGGGCTGCAGAAAACTCACGGTTTGGTGCAAACCTCAGTTTTGGGTTCACAGTTCAGTGCAATATCTGTACAGCAAGGAAAACAGAACTGGTTTTGAAATGATTTATTATTAAAAATGCAAACGCAAACTTAACTTGGAACAATTGTAAAACAGCATAACCTAAGATTATTAGCACGTTGTGAAATCAATTATGTAAAATAAATAAAAATTCAAAAATAATTTTGATTCTTATGATGCAGTCTTAACTAAACACCAGTTGCATATCTGCAGTGATAAACAGCACTGTAGCCTAAATTATATTTTTTTTATTTCATTTATTTTTCAGCCTTGAATTTCCTGACAAAAGTCACTTAAAATGCCACGGAGAGTCTAACTTGCAGATGTTGTTTCTGCTCTGGTCATACACACACTCGGACAATTTTGTCTCAGTTGAGTTTGCAGCATGTTGGATGTGTTTTGGTATAACAGAGCCTAGAGGCAGTCTTGGTCTAATCCGCTACTGTCTCTCCAGTGTTGGTATAAATCACTGGGAAAACAAAATGTTCCCAAACTGCTGATTATGACTGCCTGTAACTAGCAACACTTAAGACTCGCAGCCACAATAAGCCACAATAATTTTTTGTGTTTAACATCTACTTCTTAAATATATTCATTAGTTTCTTTGTGAGCACCAAACTGAAAAAAAATGCAACAGAACAACACACAACAAATATGTGTAACTTTACAGCCCTATTTTGTACTCTTACACATCCACTTCCTGGGACACACAGTGTCATTGAATGAGTCCTTATTTAAAATGGATGGGTTGGTGGACAGGTCGCAATAGATTAATAGTTAAGTTGCTCGCAGGATTGCAGCAAATGTGTTCTAGAAGAGGTGATTGTATCTGTGACTGATAACACCTTAACTGCTACACTCTGTCTTCTGAGGTGTGGTAGCTGGAACAGTGGTGGGGAAAGGGTGGGCCAGGTGAGGTGCTTCCCAGTAAAGTGGGCTCAGCTGGGAGAGGTCTGCTCCTTCATGACGTGGGCCATACTCATTCTGAACCTCGCTCCCCCCACGTCCCCCAAAGCACATGCCTGCTCATTGTCTCTGGACACTGGAAATTATCACTATGAACCAAAGGTATAACAGTTGAACATTTTTTTATTTTTTTTCCCCCAATTTCATTTTAGTTTTTATTAGTTTTTAAAGTGGGGTTGTTGGTTTAGTTCAGGTTAATTTTTTTGAGGATGTTTAGTTCTTGTTAATTTTTAGTTTTTTGTAATATAAGGTATTTGTCAGAGGCGACACTCATAGGTAAGAAAGTATTGTGTAATAAAAACTCAAAATATACAATTTTGAAAAATGTATTCACTTAGGAAGGACGAACAAGCATGCACGAAATATAAGTATAAAAGATGACAGTCAATGTACTTCTGTCATTAACCAGAAAAATTCACCTGTTATTGCACAAAAGAACAGTCCGTAAAATGTAGATATGGCCCAAATATGTAAACAGTTTCTAATTGAAATGTGTCTAATTCTGCTTCTGTGCTGAGATGCAGGTATTAGCTGGACTGTACAGCACTAGCTGCTGGTCCTCCAGCTCCATAGCAAATCATTGCTTTATGTCCAACATTGTAAACAAAAATTTCTTGCATTATGAATGAATCACCTGTTGAAATACAGCATTGTGTGTGTGGGGGGGGGGGATTAGGTTTTTATGACATCGTGGGGATAAAATGTCCTGCACGATGTGATAACTTATTTTGACATTGTGGGGACCTATTCTTGGTCCCCAAAAGAGGAAAACTCAGCTTTATAAAAATATGCAATCAAAAAACTAAAAATGCCAAGACTTGTACTTGTGGCTAAGGTTAGGACTGGGTACTGGTCAGACAGAGTTGAGATTAGGGTTTTTCTTCATATAAATTGATGGGCGGTTCCTACAAAGACATACAAACATTAAAGAATACAAGTGTGTGTGTGTGTGTGTGAGCGGGTTTACTTATCCTTATGGGGACCTAATGTCCCCATAACGTGATAAATATCCGTTTTTTTTCCCTTATGGGGACCGGATTCCTGGTCCCCATAAGGGAAAACTCTATTTTATAAAAATCGGTGACTGCTATGAAAAAACTAAAAATGCAAAAACTCTTGTATTTTGTTAGGTTACTTATGGTTATGGTTAGGGCAGGGTGGGGGTTAAGGCTGTCATAGTTAGCGTTAGCATTTTTCCCATTGAAATGAATGAGCGGTCCCCATAAGGATATGTTTACCCCACATGTGTGTGTGTGTGTCTGTGTGTGTGTGTGGATGAGTGAGAAAGATAGAGATGCAAGTCAAGCAACAATTTGTTGTCAACCTTGAGAGAAACTTGTAGCTCCTGAAACGTGGTTGTTATTTTTCTCAAGCCAGACGACAGCGGTCTACCAGACTGGTGCTTCCTCTCGACTTTGGCAGCTGCGGCCGCCATGATAGATGGACAAATTGACAAATTTTGGACATGCGCGTGATGTCATGCTCGTGATGTCATGCGCGTGATGTCATGTGCCTGCCGTTTGCAGGTGTAAAACTGCCAGAGCTAATACATGAAAGATTGTATCCACCTAGATTTATGTATGTAAAGTAAATTGATAACAATAAAAACCGAAGATGTTTTCTTTAATTTTAGTTTTAGTTCCTTTTTTTTGTGAAGCCTAATTTCAGTTAATGAAATTGTTTTTTCATATTTAGTTTTCATTATTTAATTAGTGTGTGTGTGTGTGTGTGTGTGTCCTCACTGATGATTTCCCTGACTTCTCTTCCCTCTCAGTCTTGTAGATGACCGCTGCGTGGTTCAGCCGGACACGGGAGACCTGAACAACCCCCCCAAGAAATTCCGAGGTGAGTAACCCTGCTTCAAGTGCCGACCTTCTCAAATACCTGTGCAACACTTTGGATTTCTGTCATTTAGGTGTTTCTGTAGGAAAAGACCTTCCAGGAAATGTATATTAAATGTTCACTGTAAATGTCTTCACTTTTTAAATGCTGATACCTCTCCTATTTGCAAAAAATTGTAATTACTGTTCATCATAGGTCTTTTGAGGATGAGATGATGGTGGTGTAGCTTCTTCATGGCAAATAGGTCCTAGAGCAGAGTCGGGGGCAGAAAGAAGAGCAGCTTCATTGTTAAAATAGTCTGGGGTTTTTTTTTTGGGGGGGGGGTCTTTTCCTAAGCCTCTTTGAGATTTTTAGGTTTGAAAGGTTTATCTGAATTGCTGAGCTCAGACTTCAGTGGTGGCATGCAAGGAGTTTGCGGCTGTTGAAAGGTTTCTCAGCCTGTTGCAGTTTTACGTCGTCCTCGTGTTTCACATGAGGGGAAAGGAAATGGCCCCTGGTTTAAACTAAAACTGTACACTGCTGTCAGCCAACGTAGCAGCTCTGGTGCTCTTTTTTGTGCTATGGTTTGGTCCCCTAGACCCATTAGGGTGCTGGTGGGCCTCTGGTCTGGCCCCTACATTTGGGGAATGTCCGTGTGCTCCTCAGGTCGGGCCCTGAGGCCTCCGTCTGCCCTCCGCGCTGAGGTGCCATCGCATTCCCTGCCACAACTGCTTACCCTTCATGTGTTTCTCTGGCTCCATGAGTTGTATCCTTTCCTTCTTTCTCTATCGCCTCTCTCTGTGCTTCTGCATGTTAGAGTGTGAGATGGAGGAAAGGCTTTCTTGTCATCTGAGAGAAGAACATTTTTTTTTTTTCTGGCAAGCGCACAACTATGCAGTTACTGTAGCCCCCACCTGGGCGGGCTAGGCTCGCTCCGATCCTACACTGCGTCATTCTGATGGCCCCCTTCGCTTCTCCTGAGTCTGTTATGGAGAAGCGTGAAGGTGCTTTAGTTACCATAGTTTCTGCCCGTCATATCTGGCCTTTTGTAGATGGAGCTCAATTAAACACTGCAAGTATGCTGCGACACTGTACATTACATAACACAATCCCAAATGTACTGAATGTAGGTATTCTGCAGATTTAAAAACACATCTCTGAATCCAAACTGGGAAAAATAGCAGATTTTTAGAACTGCTATCAGGAGGTTATTTCTTTCTTTGGCTGCCCCCCCCCCCCCCCCAGCATTGCATTCTGTATTGAAGGTCAAGTGTAGCAGAAATCGGCTCAATGTAAAGACCCATTCTGCAAGTGCGAAGTGCGATGTGAAAGGCAGCCTTGGGGGGGGGGGGGGACGCTGTGCTACGCTACTCGCGCCCCGAAATCAGTCTGAGATGGGAAGCGTGTTCAGGACCGACTTTATACTGTTAGCGCTGGTATCAGACACCTGGGTCAGACTGATTTTTCTTTACTCTTCTTGAGATTATACTGGTCTGAGTGATATGCTCACTTTTAATAGTGGAACTATCAATCAATAAGCTAGGATAGCTCTGTAGGCCATGATATCGGATTAAGCTCTAGTCAAGATTATACATTTGTGTGTCCCTTACCTTCTGCCCTGTGTTTCTGGGGTTAGCCTTCAGGCTCACTGTGACCCTTTCCTGGATGGATTGATTGATGGATTGATGGGTGGATGGATGGATGGATGGATGGGGAAATGAACCAGGGAGATGTGTACCCCCCAATATTTGATTTAATTTGACCCATCCCTCCCCCCCACCAAAATAAAAAAAACCTTTGCATTTAAATAAAGTTGTGTGAACCATAATGTCAAACTCTCTTCTACTGTATGTCCTTGGATGGATGCATGCATGGGTGGATGGATGAATGGACAGATATATTACTTAGCTGAAGCTGACTTCAGTGACTATTATGTATGATACAGTATGTTAAACAGATTAGCGGAATGATGTTACATTGTTTTTTTGTTATGTTGAAAACAAAAAATCATTCTGCGGGCCAGATTTTATAACAAATTCTAAACACGTTGCAGGCCAGTACTTTGACATGTCTAATAATTGGCGAATGAGCCAATGAAATCTCTAGTCCTCCACTACAGAAAACTGATCGTCCATTTCATGCGTCTGCATTATTTCAGTTGTTGTCTTTAGCTCTGTTGCTGCTACTTTTGAAAATTGAAGAAGTGTAAATATTGCCAATATCAGCTGAGACTGACCTGTCATACTGATGCCGATTATCTTGATTTTTAACAGATATTGGTTGATGTCAATATCTTAACCGATATATCATGCATCTCTAGTTAAAGAGTGTAACATATGCACTCCATTTCCAATAAGGTAAAACACGGTGCTTGTTTTTTGGGGTTAGATTTAGTTTACTTCTTCCTAACATAGTTACATTAGTATAAGTGATGAAAAGGGAGGCTGTTGCTCTGAGGTGTTTTTGCCTGTTGGCCGTTTAAGTCACAGAGATGATTCCCATGTTTGTGACGGTAAATAAGGTCTCCTTTGAAATCTCATTCCAATGTGATCTTGGATCTTTTTTTGGCTCCTCCCCCATTTTAAAATTTAGCATATAGTACATTGAGGACTGCTTTAGGGTTAGTCATGACCGACCAGTTCATTCGTGTGACACATTGAATGACACAATGCGGTATAGTGTGGTGTGGATGTAATCTTGGCCCAGTCAGACCACACAGCTACTCCACTCCTACACAAAAGAGAGTTTGACCTAAACACCACTGTAGACAGAACATAAAGCATTGTGACCTTCCTGGTTTTATGTAAGCACCAAGAATGTAGGGGAGTGGGAGTACCGGGAGTGGGAGTACCGGGAGTGGGAGTACCGGGAGTGGGAGTACCGGGAGTGGGAGTACCGGGAGTGGGAGTACCCGTGGGTGATGCTGTTATTTAGCACTGTGATTGATCTCTTATGGTTTTGCCAATTCCTGCATGGACATATAGTTAATTGTTTCTTGATTTATTAAGTCATTGTATTTTGAAAATGCGGTTCCAGCAGTGACACTATGATCAGGTATCTTTCTGTTAGGCTTTTTGCTGCATTATGGTCCCTTGTCTCATTAGATCTTTTGGCCCCTGAAGACTATATGTCTCTTCAGCTGTAATGAGACTGAACAAGCGGCCTCTGCTTCCGAGTTGTCACTCCTATGTCCGGAAAGTAAACATCCAGACCAAGGTTTTGTGTCAACCAATCAGTTGAGCATAAAGAGTCACCTCGACTGTCTGTCGTGTTCTAGACTGAAGATTGAATTTGGCCACACATAGAATTAAGAAGGTGCAGCCCACCTTCTTTGCTCAGCAGTCTTAAGTGCCAGATGGTGTATATGGTCAACAGCCTGCTTAACACAAAATTTATGTTTTTATATGTGCATATTTTGCAGGGGAAACAGGACTTCATTAACCCCCATTAAAGTCACTCTGCAGTGCACAGCAATTAAAAATATATCCCATTTTTAAAATGGGTCATCTCTCACTGTTTGTTTTCCACTTTTCACAAGGTCATTGACCAAAACTGCTTCCAAAATGTTTGCAATTACTGTATTGTTATAACTTATTGATGCCAGCTACCTTTTACATCAACATAGTTTACCTTTGAGAGGAGCTAGATGCCTCATTTAAACAAAGATTTAAATATTCATTCAAGCAACCAAGCTAGCATTAACATTTAGTTTGGCATCATCTGCTATCTGATTTACCCCGTTCAATTTTTGTCTGTCCATCTTCACATAGCTGTTATCCTGCTGTCTCCATTCTGGGAGGCTATACTGGGATGCATTGGGAAATGTCAGGAATCCTTGTGGTCCTATAGCTTGTGTTGTTTAACCCTATGGTCAACATAAAAACTGAAAAAGAAACTTTTGAGCTTATTGATTTTTTATTTTTTTTATCCTTATTGCCGGGTTTGGTAAAATCCTCCATAAACTGTGTCTAGCAACAGTCCTGCTGGAGTCAATCCAAACTCTTGTTGTAACACAAATGAAGACGCTACATTCCCTGCAGTTGTAGCTTAGATGTTGGTTACGGTGAACTTTCTTTTTATTGTCTCTCTGAATAATAGTGCAGTAGTTGTAGCACTTTTCGAATTTTCCACCTCACCAAGTACCATACTTTTCCATTGACTTCTGGTCATGCGATGTTGGTATTAATATTGCACATCGTCCAGCCCTTTGATATACTGCAGCCATTTTTCTAATTTGGCACAAAATACCCTGCCTCGCGTTGTGATGTCATTCGGTGCTAGTACCAGTTTTCATGCCAGTGGAAAACCTACACTTTGAAGTACCGTACTTTTGGTACTTTCTCAAAGTACTTAAAGTACAGTACCCATTGCAGTGGAAAAGCACCCTTATTTATTAGGGATGTAACGATACCAAAAACTCACAATACTATAATAATAAAAAATAATATCACGATAAAATGTTCACGATATAATGATTATCCTGATATAAAAACTCTTTTAATAATTAATAATCAACATATATATTTATATCAAATTAGTTCTTCCTTTTAACATAAAGTGCTTCTGCTTTTCTACATTAGTGAAATATCCAGCTCTGACCTTAAGCATTTGCCAGAACTTAGCAGTAATTGTCCTTTGCAATGAATGACTGAACAATGCATGTAATCTTAAAACAAAAACAGTCAGTAGTTCCTTTATAAAATATTAATTTTAATGCAGTGGCTGGATCTTTTAATCATAAGAAAAGTCGCACTGACTGGTCAGGTATGTTTAACAGACCAGAACAGGAACATCCAGTGTTTTAACCACTGCAAAAAAATATGCATTTTCTCAGTGCCACTAAATGTCACATATAACAATTAAACAAACAAGGAGATCTGACCCTGAAATAAAATGTCAAGTGCACTATAGTTTTTCAAGTAAGTAAACTTAAACAAACAACAAAAACATTAACTCATTTATCAGACATGTTCTTTTTTAAAAATATGAACATGTCCACATTTTCAGGTAGAAGCTGGGATCTC